CCAACTTGAACCAAGCCTAGGTCTGAAGCCCAGTATTTAGTATTTGGAAGTTCAAACAGCACAGGAAGCCTGCAAATCCCAAGTGAACGCTTGTGCTTAAAGAAGATGTTCTTCACCTTATCTGTGCTGGCTTCAGCCACATCCAGGGAACAGGTACCATTACAGAGACAAGGGCTCTCCCCTCACACCTTCCCCACAGGAAGCACTCAGAGGCCTGTTGTTGGCTGAATTCTTTCCACAAACAGCTGCTGGGAACAGCAGCACCCCAGAGCCTCACTGCAGCCAGGAATGTGCACTGCCAGCAGACCTCCTGCTGAGACTGACATTCCCTGCTTCCCACAGCTTCATTAACATCAGCAGGGCTAATTCTGGGGAAACCCTATCTCTTACAGCTGTAATTCTTGTATCAGCTTTACATTTAAAACAAAGAACACAAAACCAAAACCACACACTGTTCTCCCCTCAGTTTTAATTCCTTTACGGCTTTGTTCTAATTAATTTTTAACCCCCTACTTTTTTCCTCCCTGTTCCCTTTCTGACTTCTACTGACTCCAAATATTCTACCACCAGTATTAAATCTCCTTGGTAAAAATTTTCAGGCTTCGCTACTTCATATTTGCCATTGATACGAATTTTTTAACAAGCCATTTTTTAACAGTTTATTGACAGAACACACACAACCCAAAGAAGTAATCACAGATCACATTCTCTACTGACAATTTCCTGGATCTCATTACATGAGAAAGAATATAGAATAAAGCCTCTTTAACTGAAAATCAGATGCATTTCATACACATATGCCAGTGAAAAGATAAATAAGTGAAAACACAGCTCAGTAAAGCATAATGATTCTGAATTCCAAATTCAAATAGAATGTAGGCAATATTTAAAATATAAAGCAAGCAAAGAAGAAACAAGGAAAAACTTGAAAAAGAAAACCACCCCCCAAAAGAAGCAGCATTTACAGAATGAATGAAATGTAGAGAAATACTCGCGTACTGAAGTTGTTGTTTTCAAAGAAGTGCACTTCATTGTTCACATTCCTGGCACAAATGCTTTCATCATCTGCCCAGCAAGGACACCTGCAATTCAAAGGAAAAGTCAGAAACACTAAATCATGCTCATCTTTAGCTCTCCAGGATTGTTTTTCCCCTCCCTTTCTAAAGCTCAGCAAGGTCTAATATGATATGTTTCATATTATGGACAAATAACATCTGCATAGCAAAAAATATGCAAGTGGACTTAGTTATTGCCTGCCCAGCTTTGTCTGTGGGGCAAAAGGAGGGTGAATTAACAATGAGCTGCACACCGACACTCACGAGCACAGACTGGCCTTTAGCCAGCAGCAGGCACTAGCTTGAAAGCCAACACTGCAAAAACAGCTCCATTTACCTGGATCAGACTTTGGAAACTGAATTTCTTTGCAAACAATTAGCATCTGGAAGGGTTATTTACCAGTTCTGCATCTTTTTCTGGATGAAGGACTTTAAGCATTTTCCGGTTCTCAGATCATGGAGCTGCAGGTTGGGCACCCCCGCTGTACCATCCTTCCCAGCTGCAAGAAAACACAGTGGTCTCTGGGGATTAAACCTGCTTCACCAGGACACCCCACCTAGGGATTAAACCTGCTTCACCAGGACACCCCACCTAGGGATTAAACCTGCTTCACCAGGACACCCCACCTAGGGATTAAACCTGCTTCACCAGGACACTCCACCTCAGGGCTCTGCAAACACCCACCCACACAGGAACTTCTAGCAAGCAGCATCCTGCCCCTGAGGGGCCAAACCCGTGGCTGCTGATTGCTGCACCTATTAACCTCAGTCTTTCCCTCTGCAGAAAGAACTCACATTCGAAGGTGTAGGGTTTCTACTCCCCGCTGCAGGGCTGGGGCCAACACCACCTGCACAGCTCTTTAATGCTTGTTTTTTAACCAAAATCAAAAACCATCCTTGTGGCAAACAATGGAGGCATGTTCTCCACTCTTACATTTTGCTCTCATGGGAGTGCCGTGATTTTATCAATCCCATGGAAATCACAGCTTTCTCTGCAAGACAGGCAAAATAGTTCTGCTGCTTTTAAACTCTCTGTACCCTCCTCCTTACCCCAGATACCACAGCCTGCCTATGGCTGTCAGTGATTCAGGACAGACCCTGAACAGCTCACAGTTTCTGCTGCTTTCTCTCATCCTACAGCCTGTCCCAGGCCACTTCCCAAGGCCCAGCTCTTGCCCAGCTCTTCCTGAGGCAGCATTTGCACTGTCTGCGTAAGACACACTGCTCAAACAGGACTGGGGCTCTCTGAGTCAGGAAGAACCCCTGCAGAGGCAGGGAAGGGAATAAAGCCCTGGACAGGGACAACACTTCAGGCACTGCACCCAGGGGAGGACACAACTCCTGCAGGAAGGCATCTGATGTGCCCTGTCTGCACAGGAACACAACCTGCCTGCACAGACATTGCCCACACACGGCACCACGACCAGCTCCCGGTGCTTGGAAACACGGGATTCACTCACAGTAACTGCAGCACGTGCCCTCTGATTCAGGGTTTGTAGGATGGCATTCCTCACTCCACCACCGTGTCCCTGATCACCCACAGACCCTTCATGCACTTTCTGTACTGCTCATTGAGCCAATAAATGTCCTACAGAGAGCAGGCAGGTCCTGGAGAGGCTGCCAGCCCACTTCAGACATGCACATATGCCAGGTGCCTGCCCAGCTGCCACAGTACTCACTTGCATAGGCCTGCCACGTGGCCAGAACATTATTCTTTGGTGAGAATTCAAGGCAAACTGCCTTTGGGAGATCAAAGGAACGCAGTAACTCAGCTCTGGTGACACTAACAACGTTTACTCTGGAACCAAAAGATGTTATTTCAATAAAACATGTTTACAATAGTTAATTAATTACTAAGAGAACTGTTCATGTATTTGACTCTCCTAAGTCTGTCCCAAATTTAGCCAATGTAACACAATTAGAAGAGCTTTCTTCCCTTCCTGCTTTTACTAAATTTTTGCAAGAGCACATTTTAAAACCAGATACCCAGGCATGACAGAAAAAGTGAGAGCACAGATCAAAACAGAACATGTATTTTTATCTGTAAGCTCTGAAGAAGAGAGTGAACTCTAAAATGCACCTGGTCTACAAAACAGGAATCTTGTGATGTTGGTACATAAGGTGCACAGAGTCTTTATCTCCTGTGGGCTTTACTAATTAATTCATCCCAGAAACCAGGTACTGGGAGCTGTGAACAAAAAAACAACCAAACGAATAAAGCACATGCAGGTTACACAGGAATGGGTGCATTATACACAGGAAAACAGCAAATATTTCATCTGAGAGTCAGGAAACAAAGCCACTACTGTGAAGAATGCAAAAATAAACTGCATTTAAAATGTGCCTGCAAATACTTGCACTAACAGCAACTGCCTTTACACAGAAAAGAGTCACAGGGCATAACTGATCCAATTTATTTCACACAAACTAAAGATTAAGAACATAAAATGCACCCACTTTTCTCCATTGCACCAGGCAAAGAGAGAGCCATCCTTGCTAAAAGCAACAGCTTTGCAATTTTTTCCAGAGTCCCTAAAGAAACAAGAAATGCGCATGAGTAGTCATTAGTGCCCAAGTGAAGATTTTTTAACAAAACCAAAAAGCAACACATTTCCTGCTGTGCCCTCGATGAGTCCTGCAGTCCCTGCTGCCCCTGTTCAGGGACTGCCACCTGGCAGTCACACCTCAGGCAAGCACAAAGCCTCCCAAACCATCCATTTTCTGAACCAGTAAGAAATAATTCACTTATATTTACGCATTTTCCAATTCCAGAATCTACCTTTACTTTTTACAAAACTGGTTTTTTTGCACGAAAGATCAGAGCCAGTGACAGCAGTACCTCTGGAACGCCGAGCTCTCTGTGAAACTGGGGGGCCCGTTCACCATGTACAGCCCTTCGGACCCTCTCACTGAAATGGAAACAAGGAACTCATTTCAAATTGTCCAAAGCAGAAGTTGTGCTAAGTTGTGAACCCTAAAACAGGCACAGACTGCTTGCTGTAAGGACATCCAGGACATGAGGTGTGCCTGAGCCCCCAGCCCAGCCACCGGGATGGGGACCCAGAGCCCTGGGCAGCTTATGCCCCCACCTCGCAGCAAAGCAGTTTTTCTCATGTCTGAATGCAATTTCCTGGGGTTCAGGCCCTGACAGACCCCAAAGGGACCTTTTAACACACCCTAAATACAAGCCACAAGCTGCATACCCTTGCCTGCAGCCTGTTCTCCAGCTCTGCCATCAGGGCACCCATTGAGATCCAGATTTACAATAGATTACAGACAGCACCGAGCAGCCCAAAATCCACCCGCAGCAGCTGCAGCCCCCCGACCCACGCGAAGGCAAATACGGTTTTTAAGGCTTAGAAACACAGGGAAGGAAAGTACATCTCCCTGATGTCAGGGACAGCTGAACAGGGAGATGCTCAGAAGAAAGAGCGCTCTTAAGAGCCCTCGCACCGACCGAGCCCCGCGAACGCCCCCCGGGAACCGCGCGAGAACCCCCCCGCGCCCGAAAAGCGAACCCCGGACACGCGGCCCCGGGAGCTCCCGCGGGGTGCCGGGCTGAGCAGCGGCACCCCCGGAGACGGCCCGGCGAGCCCTGCCCGGCCCCGGGAGCGACACCGCCAAGGGCGCCAGGGCCGAGCTCGGTCACGCCGAGGCAGCGCTCCCTGCGGAGGGGACGGGAGGTGGGTACCGGCGGACCCGGACCGCCCCAGCCCGACGCCGCGCCCGCCTCCCGGGGCGGCCCGGCCCGGCCCGGCCCGACGCACCCGCGAGCAGCGGCGTGGGCGGCGCCATCTTGGCGCGGGGGGGGCGGCAGTTCCGGTTCCGGGTCAGTGGCGCGCGGCGGCCGCAGGGCGCGCCACGTTGCGCAGGCGGGGCGGGGCCGCGGCGCGTGCGCGGGTTGGCGCGCGCGGCCCCTCCCCCGGCGCGCTCCCGGCGTGCGGCGCGCGCGGTGCTGACGCGGCAGCGGTGGCCGGGCCGGACCGGGCCGGGCTGAGCCGAGCTGAGCTGAGCCGAGCTGGACCGGGCCGGACTGAGCTGAGCTGAGCTGGGCCGAACCGGGCCGGGCTGAGACGAGCCGGGCCGGGCTGAGCTGAATTGGGCCAAACCGGGCCGGGCTGAGCCGAGCCGAGCTGATCTGAGCTGGGCCGAACCGGGCCGGGTTGAGCCGAGTCGAGCTGAGCCGAGCTGAGCGGGGCCGCCATGGTGGCCAAGCAGCGCATCCGCATGGCCAACGAGAAGCACAGCAAGAACATCACCCAGCGCGGCAACGTCGCCAAGACCTCGGTGCGCGGGGCCGGGCCGGGCGGGCGGGCGGGCGGGGGGCGGCGGGGCCGGGGGGGCCGCGCTGACCGGTGCTGTGCCCGCAGAGAACGGCCCCGGAGGAGAAGGCGTCGGTCGGGCCCTGGCTGCTGGCGCTGTTCATCTTCGTGGTCTGCGGATCAGGTGAGCCGCCGCGGGCCCCGCTGACTGTTCGGGGCGCTCCTCGGGCCCGGCAGCGTTCGGGCCCCCCGAGCTCCCTTCTCCGCTCTCTTGCAGCCATCTTCCAGATCATCCAGAGCATCCGGATGGGCATGTGAGGGGCCAGGGCCGGGCCATGGCCCGCCGGCCCCGGCCGCCGCAGCACTGCCGAGGAGCGGCGCGCGGCACCGGCCGTGTCGCATTCCAGGTCCCTTCACGAGTCATTCCGAGTTTTCTAGCCCGTGCCACAGTGCCTTGAACAGCACCACATGTATAAAGCAATAAAAGTCTGTTGTTGATCTACAATCGTGGACCTACTTATTCGCTGAAGATCCAGCCTGGTCTCTCACACACGGAGCTGTAACGCGACATAGGTCCATAGGAACTGGCATCTTGTAAACACCGGTCCCAGACCGGTGTCACCCTCTGTATAGCTGGAAATGGTTTCATTTGACGCTGGAAGCCGGGATTTTTGCAGTGGCTGGAGCCCGACTGTGCAGCATGTTCCCGAGGAGCCCCACCGTGCGTCGCCCGTGTGCGCAGGGAGGCCCCACTGCAGCATGTGGCAGTGCCGTCCTCGCAGCTGCACCTCCTGTAGCTTTGCCCTAACCCACGCCAAGCGCTTGTCTGTGTAGGGGCACCGGGGTTCCCAAGGGACTGGCGTGGCCGGGCGGCACCTGCTCCCGACGGGACTCGGCGCTGGAGCGTCACGGACTGTGGAGCTCCCAGGGCCTCTCCCGGCTGTGCCTGCGCTGTAAATACTCCTTGGACAACTTTCAGCCAGTGGTGATAGTTTTAAATTTGACAATGTTGTGTGGGAATGTTTGGTGCAGGTGGGGGGACCCTGCCCCCCTGCCCACAGTTCTGCTTCTATGTGCAGCCCCTGCAGAGTGTGGTGTGTCTTGCAATATATATTTAATCCTATTTAAGGTAAAACCTGCTTTCAACTCGATTTCTTCTAACAGTGGATCCAGTACTTAACTGCTTCCCTACGGATGATCACAGTTCCTTCTTCTGTAGACAACTGTAACTTGAGGTCACATGGAAAATGCTGCTATTGATCATATTTCCCTGCTGATGGCCCCAACTCCTGCTGTCTCTCTGGTGACAAAGGGGGTGTGAATCGCTCTGCTGGTGCACGCAGTTGCTAAAGGAAGTTTCCTTTTTCCAGGTTTCTTAGCAGAAGACAAATTCAAAGTCTGATTATGCTAGAAGTAATAGAAAACAAATCTGTCAAGGTTAATGAAATGCCTGTTAGCTGTGAAGGAGCAGATCTTTTGTACTCGTGTATTCCCATATGGAATCATGGGGACTGGTGTAAGCCAGCACGGCCATGGGTGTGCCCAGCCTGGCCACCGGGGGGACGGGGACCTTGGGCCAGGGCACTCGTGTGCTGTGAGCGGGGAAAGTCTGTATAATCGCTGATTTTAAATAAAGTTCTTTCCAAATGCAAGTTGTGTTCTCTTGAGGTTGGCAAAGCGGGGCTGTGCTGGGTGTTGAAACTCGGCTGCTTCACGCCAAGCACAGGTTAATTGGCTGTTCCCCGAGAGGAGCCCCCGTGCCATGGGGCATTCCCTGCTCTGCTGTCGGTCTGGGGCCGTGGGGGCTCTGGACTCACCCGGGTGCTGCTCCCCATCTCCCTACAGGGGTTCAGCAGGTGGCTGCTCCCCACTCGTCTCTCTGGCCCCTGGGAATGCTGCAGAGGCCTCGGGTCTGACAGGTTCCTGCTGCCACTACAGGAACTGTTCGAGGGCCTTGGGGACTGGAATGCTCAGGGTGGTTTGTACAGATTCGTTCCTCAAGGCTCAGTAGAAGTCTTGCTTCGGTGCCAGCACCAGACGCAGGGGTGTGTGGTGCTGTGCCCTGCAGTGGCTCGGCCCTGGGCAGCCACAGGCTGGAGCAGGGGCTGCACTGGGGGCTCTCCAGAGAGGCCTCCTGGCCCCAGCTGTGCTCTGGCTCCATATGCCCAAGTACAAATGCTGCAAAGCACCACGCTTGTTTCTTCTCAGAAACGTGAGAGAGCAACACCCAGGTTTATTTGCCCTGGTGAGACGCCGGTTCTCGTTTGCAGGCGCTGGCAGCTGAGGTGTTGCCAGCGCTAGGGGACGTGTGACGCGGGGCTGCGTTTGCAGACACGGGCAGGTTCTTCGGCAGAGCTGAGCTGGCTGAGGTGATGTCATTAACCACCCGCAACTCACTGTTACCTCAAATCTTGCCTTTTGTTTTCCTGTGAAGCCTTCTTGGGGCTGGCTGCACGACTCCGCTTCAGTATCACATCAGGGCTGGCACATGGTTTGCCTCCCCTGCGCCCCTGCCAGGCCCCGCGTCTGCTCTGTGCCCGGTGTCACGGCTGGCACAGGGCTCCTTCCCCGCGGCTCCAAGGAAACACCGGGCCCTTTGGAACCACGTCCCCCGACAGAGCCACCCCTGTGAGCGACATGGCCCCGAGACCCGCCCGGCTGCGAACACGGGGCACGGGGGGACCGGGGGCCACAGGGCCGGGCGTTGTCCGAGCACAGCCGTGCGCGGGCCCCTCAGCCCCCGGGCTGCGACACGGGACAGCGGGGCCGCGGAGCGACGGGGAACCGGCCCGGGGGGCGGCGGGACCGGCGGCTCGCACAGGGACCCCCGGGAACGAGCGCGACAGCGCGGCCCCACAGCCCCGGCCCCACAGCCCCGGCACACCATGGCCGCCCGGCCCCGCCCCACAGCCCCACAGCACCGCCCCACAGCACCGCCCCATACACCTCTCCGCCCCTCAGCCCCACAGCCCCGCCCCACGCACAGCCCCACAGTCCCACACACAGCCCCGCCCCACACACAGCCCCGCCCCACAGTCCCACAGCACCGCCCCAGTCCCACAGCCCCGCCCCACACACAGCCCCACAGTCCCACACACAGCCCCGCCCCACACACAGCCCCACAGTCCCACACACAGCCCCGCCCCACAGTCCCAGTCCCACAGCGCCGTCCCGCGGCCCCGCGCGGGAGCTGCGGAAGGGCCGGTCTGTGCTCACCAAACCTACAGGAGCGGAGCAAAGCAAACGAAGGTTTTCTAACAGCGTGAGTTCAACCTTTGCTTCAACTCTATTTCCTGCAGATTTACTAAAGGGTTTCTCCTTTTGGAGCAAGCGCCTCCGCAGCCCCTCGGAGGGGTGTGCGGGCCCCTCGCTCTCGGCACAGCCCCACGCCCTCACCCTCGGGGGCAGAGCACGGGCCCTGCCCGGCTCCGGGAGGGTTGGGGTGCTGGGCACCATCCTCACAGGCTCGGTGCCCCTCTGCTCCCGGCAGCGCATCTCGGACCACCCCAGAGAACCACGGTTCGAACGTCTCTGTTCTGTTTCGCTCAAAAAATGGACAGGTACAGCCTTCCCTCCATAAAAGTTTTAATCAACTACTTACCTGAGGGACTCCTGTTCAGTCCCCAGAATTGTCCCTTTCTACTTACTTTAACAGCATCCTCCTCGCGGTGCAGCCGGGGCGAGCCACTGATCGCACAGGAGGGGAACACACGGAGCTCCTGCAATACTTTGGTTTCTCGTTGCACCGAGGACTCCCAGAAGTGCTCCCAGCAGGCAGAGAGCACCCGCCCACACCTGCCGGGAAGATCGTTTTGGTGTTACTTCAGCAAGAACTTTTTAATACACACACACCGAGCTGATCCTCACCGGGAAGGGCAGGCAGAGCTGTTTCCAGGACACAGACGTTTCTCTAAGATCTGAAGGCACGAGAACTTGCAGTTTCCAGTGTTGCTCCTGTTTTACCTCAGACATAAACCTGAGCAGAGTTAGACACACACAAGGCTCAGGTACTGAAGCAGAGGTTCACAGCAGTGAACCAGCAGGCCCAGGTGTTAATTTACAGCATCACTGCAAACCCAAACCCAAGAGGGCCACTGACAGCATCAGGTGATGCTTCTCCTTGAAGAGAAGGCACCGGTCTGTTGCAAAAGAAGCAGTGATAACCCTGGCACTGGTCTGTTAGGCAACATCAGAGAGACAGCTTCTCCATTTTCTTCAGAAAAAAGTGCTACTGAATTTAGTTACATTGCAACAACATCTACAGCCAAAAACTTCAACAAAACTGCAGTTTAATTTCAGAAAATGTGTTAAAATATATATATATTTGTACATCAATTTGACACACTGCGTTAGTTTACACAAATGATGGTCTTCCTTGAAATTGTATTTATGAAATGTACATTTTTAATTTAAATACTCAGTATACACTGCACTTAATCTGCATGTTGCATTTATTAAATACATTAAAATCTGCAATGTAACAAAACGTTTTCTGCATACGAAATTCAAAACACCATTTTAAATGAACAAAAGATGGCTCACTTCATTTATTTGTTTTAACAACTAGTGCCTAGCACACTAGCTCAGCTCCACCAACACCAGCTGTTCTTTCTCTTTATTGACATTGTTCACAGACTAGTACATATTACACTAAGAGTGCTGGATAAAAACATGAGGTACGAAAGTGGTTCAAAGATTACAGGTCATGCAGATCATGCGAGACAGCAAAGAAAGTCGTGAATGAGAAAACACTAAATAAAAATACATAGAGAATGTGCATTATAAAATAAAAATAATAATAAAAAAAAAAAAAAAAAAAAAACAACACCAAACCTCAATTACACAGCTTTGCTTCTTTGGTTACAAAGTAGGTTGAACAATTTCACAGCTTTTTATTCCCACCCAAAAAACAAACCAAAAACGAAATGTCAAAAAGCAGAGGAATCGTGGCCCTTTCTCTCTATTAGAAAGTAGAAACAGAAATGAGCAAAGTTTTCTTCATCAAAATAGCCCATCACTCATTTATTATATCACAAGGACTGGTGACTACCTGTACAGATGCACTATGGTCTTCATACTTACACTCTATACAAAATTTACATTCAAGCTGGATCTTTACTACCGTAAATAAATACCAAAGGTCAATTGCCATTAGTGTTAGAAATATGCCAGGGTTCTTTGTTCAATTATTGCCTAGACATTGTATCTATTAACGCAATCCCATCTACCATTTTACCCATACAGACATTTATTAAAAAAAAATTTAAAAAGTTCTGTGACATTGTTCATGTACATTATGAAAATAGCAGCCCTGTAATAAATAAAACAAATAAATGAAACTAACGTAGGCAAATGTTACTTATATGAAAAGAACAGTGGCTCTGAAGAGGAATTGTTGCTCCTTACCAGACAGCAAGGCTCAAAGCAACCCAGGGGCGATGGGAACCTCGGAGAGCCACCCAAGCTCTGACAGCCCTCCCTCCCTCCCGCAGCCCGGGGAGGATCCGGGCTCAGGGACTGCCCCTGCAACCTCTGCACGGGCAGGGCCGGCGGGGCAGCGCCGAGGTGATTGTCTAATACTGCAAAGGCCAAACACGGACAGAAGCGGCTGCGCTGGGCTCACGCCGAGGACACGTTGGGCTGCGGCGGCTGCGCGGGCGGGGGCTGCGCCGAGGAGCTGCTGCTGGGGGGGCCCTGCTGGCTGGAGAGCTGGGACAGCTGGTCGTTGTTGGACAGCGATTTCAACAGTGCGTTTTCTCGTTCAAGTAAAGAGTTTCTTTCGACTAATTCCTTTATTTGTTCCTTCAGGACTTCCACTTCTTCTCTCACTGCATACATCAAATGGCTTTTCACTAGATCCTGCGGAGAACAAGTGGGCAGTTACACCAAGGGAAAGAATACTTTCCTTCACCCCAGCCCCAGAATTTACTGTTACTGCTTTCACTGCAGTAAGCCTGGAAAACCAAAGCACTCTCACTAAAAATATATATGAATAAATCAGCCTTCAAGCACAAACAACCCAGCCCTTTTGTTCCCTTGAAGTGGCCCTGACATCAAAAGCTGCATCCCAGCTCCTCAGAAGGAAAGCACCAGCTCTGAAGCTGTGACCTGGGGGTCGGGGTTTGCAGCATACAGGCTGCACTGAGGTGTGTGAGAACCAAGATATAAGAAAGCTTTTACATCAGCAGCAGCAAAAATCCAACAGCTGAAAGGGAAGCTGAGCAGTATGTTAAGGACGGCACACTTTACTCTTCTAGTAATGAACTGAAAACTAGTGATGAACTTGGCTAAAGCAACAGACTGAAATGCAGTATTTATTTTCATCACCCCTTTAAGTTCAATCAGCTTGCTCACAGCAATTTGTAAGAAAATTCACTGACTAACATTTCTGGGCCAATGGTAAAGGCAATCATGGTTTGTGGTCGTTCACAGATATACAGAAAATCCATTTTTCAAATGATGGTCTCAGTCTGACCCATGTGGAGGGTCACAGAAACACAACACACCTGGAAACAGGCTCAGTGATGAACCACATTAATCCTATTAGAAACAACAACTTATATTTTACTTACCATTGCCTGTTCTATTTTGTTGTCAATGGCAACAACACTCGCACCAGATGCACTGTAAATACAAGGAGAAAACTGTGAGATTTACTGTATCACTCAGGTAAATCCATGCACCTGCAGGACTCCTGAAAGATGCTGTTACTGGAAGGCCGAAGCTCAGAGTCAAGAATTCAGTGCACAATCACAGGAGTGTCCCATGTCCCCCCCAGCTGCCCAGTACAGCTGGAGCTCTTAAGAGATGCTGCTCCTTCAGTTTATACCTCCTCAGACGGTGCTTATGACACCCACAACCACAAAAATGCATTAGAATAAACACTAAACTAACTAAATCAACTGCTTTGATTCCTGGCCTCATTTTCCAGCTTTCTTTACTGGGGAAAATGGGGATTCACAGATATTCCTGGGATCCTTACCTCTATGTTATTCCTGACAAACTCTTTTTATAAAGCAATGAAGAAAAAACCCTGTTATAATGGTTGTTCTCTGGTTTCACTCAAAGTCAACCTACCAGGTAAGAAGTTCCTGGCTCAGCCCTGCCTGTGCAGCCCATGGCAGCGGGAAGGTGAGACACGACTGGAGCCCTGACCCCGGGAGCACTTCCTCACTCCCAGAATTTCCCCATGGATCTCATCTGACAGCTGACAAACACACAGGTCACAGTTAGGGCCAGGCCTGTTCCAGAGGCACACCAGTGCAGCACATCCAACAGCACATCACACTGTGAGGATGTGCATTTACTGTCCTGACAGGAGCCTGAACTGCAGCTCTGAAGCCCGGGGGGCAGCAATCCAGGCCCGAATGTCTGGGGTCTGTTTCCAGGTCACACCACAGGCACACGAGCCAGTCCCTCACGTGCAGCTCTGGAGTCGGGGTTCTGGTGGCCAGGGGTGTCCCTGCTCTCCCCCAGACTGGGATCCCTCTGTTTGGAGAGGAGCTGTAGATCTCCCAGGGTAGGCAGGGTACACCCCCTCTGTGTCGCCCTCCCATCCCGGTCCCAGGGGTCCCATTTCCTCACCAGCTCTGGTCTGACCCAGGACGGCGGTTCCTGTGACAGCCCCACCAGTGAGAGCTGCTGATAAGGGTCCCAGCCAGGGCCGTGGCTATCAGCAACACACAGCCACGTTTAAAAGAGTTAACGTGGGGAAAATGCAAGGCTTGCAGTCCCGCTGGGAAACCTGCCTCTCTGGAATTACACAACACTCACCGAAACCCAGGCCTTTTACAAGTATGGCCAATACTGCTGAGCACAGTGTCACAGATGTGAAACAAGGCTCAGTTCTGAAGAACAACATTGGTCAGAAAAGCTTATTTTAACAGGTCCCACAGAACTGTCAGTACCAGCACCAAGCACACAGGAGCAGAGGGAATCAGCTTTGCAAACTGGGGGAGTAACAGCCTCTATTTCTACACTGAATCAAGCTTGTAACCCAAACCAAAAGTCCTGAACTCCCATTTCACAAGAAAATTTTTCCAGTCTCTTGTTGTCTTCTAAGCCTCTTTCAAGCCCTATCTGTGGTAAACCTCCTCAGAATAAGAAGTATTTATAACCTGTGCTGAGGGAAGTATCCCCTTCCATCTTAAATTAACATGCTTCAAACTCATCTGGCAGCATCAGAAGTGTCTGTGTTCAAGAACCACGAAATCCCCAACAGCTTTCATGGACACCACTCTACGGGTCAGGTGAAGCAGCTCTGAAGAGGTGACAAGAGGAAAATTAAAGTAAACACCACACGTGGCAGTGGGATCTGCTGCTCCATCTTTGCAGCACCATCACACACCTTCTGTCAATACCTGTCTAGTTAAACTTGAGACTGGGACTTTATTTTTTAAATAATTACACTGCAAAATAGTTGAAAGGGATGGAAGAACAAAGTCTATTGCACCGCTCCGAGTTAAGGCATTCGAGCAGCTCCATGAGAAAAGACCGGCAGCCTTCCCTCAGTCTCCTGGAACACCCGTGGCACACTGCAGAGGCACCTCTCCTATGCTGTACCTCGTGCCCCAGCTCCCCTCTGCCTGTTAGATGGGTGCAGGGCTCACCATGTGGGTGTAAAAACTGTCCCTCCCCACACTGTGATTGGAATGAGCCTGAGAAGCCATTGCTCTTCCACCCATATCCCACACTTAGAGTGACACCAACAGTGCTGAAAGCCCTAAGCAGCTCATACACTACTGTTACTCATGTCGGAGTTCTTGCTGCCCTTATCCTCGGAGAATCTGCACTAAGATTGAAGTGCTGAGTTCGGACTCCAGCCCTACTCCCTGCTCCCTGCACCCATCCCAACTCCAGCAGGCAGAGACCCCCACCGCCTCACCCAGGAGAAGCCCCATGCTGACGGAGCAGTGCCCAGTCCACCATCAGGACAAAATCACCTGACGTGTTCCAGGTCACTTTCTACAAGCAGATGAGAATTAGATTTTAGGGTAGCACATCTGCTACAAGATTCTGTCCTTTATTCATTTTACAGTGCTCCCCACTCACTCAGCTCCTGTGAGATGTTGAGCAGCAGAGCCCTCCAGAGCCAGCTGCTCTCACAGGACACTCCAAATATAATGCTAAATCTTAAGATTTTGTACTTTTCACAAATCCTGAGCTCTTGATATTAAAGCACTGTTTGCATAAAGTATTTTATCCCATAGCTTCAGAATGAAATTTATAGATACAATCTAGTCCTTATGAAAAGGCCAGGAAAAAACCAAAGTATCTGTTAAATAAGTCTTTCTGGATAAGTGACTGGAGTGACACGTTCTGTGAGTGCACCATCCACTGCAGAGCCGATGCTCTGACTTGCAAACCCTGGAGTTAGAAGTGGAAAGACCCCATTTAGCTATTACAAAGAGACCAATTACTGATTGCTCCAGGAGCTACAGAAGTCTGACAATTATTGTCAAAGCTGAAAAAAATCCACATTAAGTAACACAGAACAGATTAAGAGGTGCATTAGGTATGTAATATTTTTTTTGTAACTGCAAACCCCCCACCCCACATTGAGCTTCTGCAGCCAACCAGGAACTGAACAGACACACTGTAATTCCAGGGAACAGTTTGGTTTGACTTAGACCTCTGAGTTAAGGACATGCCAATGAAGGCTCTGCCCGAAAAGACATTATATTGGTACATCAAGTTTGTGTTGAAGCCCACTAAGTATAAGGCAAGATTTACAGTCAGCAAAACCATCCAAGACCCCCAAGTACAGTTTGTCATTGTAGAGATGGATAGTAAACCCAACACTTTTCTACATTACACACCAGGTAGCCAAAAGCCTATTTAGTCTGAGAAATTCTCATTTTGATGGTTTAAAAAAAATATATGTGGTGCTTGCTTTACCTATTAAATTTTCTTTATCTCACCCCATGAGTTCTCTCCTCTTCCTGTTCTGGCGGGAGGTTGAGTGAGCAGCTTTGTGGGGCTCAGATGCCGGGGTTAAACCACAACAGCCCTTTTTGGCACCAAGCGTGGGGCTGGAAGGTTTCAAGATAAGGACAGATTTGCCTGGGATGTGCTAGATTGAATGGACAGCAGCAGCTGCTCCAGCCTGGCCACCCCCGTGCTCGCCATGGGCTCTCTCCCCCGTGGCAGAGGCCATTGCCTGTCAGTGGCCACGTTTCGCTTGGCTGCTGCCACACTGCTCTTATCACCTCCCTGCCGTGCTGGGAGCGCTCGATAACGGCCACGTGCCTGTCCTGGCAGGTGCCCAGGGCAGCGCTGCCACACTGGGCAGGCTGGAGCTCCAGTCCAAGGGACTGTGACCTGAGGAGTGCACAGGGGAGCAGAGACCCACCTGCAGCCTGTGGAGGAGCCCACTGCCAGAGCAGGTGGGTGCCCAAAGGAGGCCACGACCCCACGGGAAGTCCATGTTGGAACAGGCTCCTAACAGGACATGTGCCCCCTGGAGAAAGGAGCTCAGGCTGGAGCAGGTTTGCTGGTAGGACCTGCGACCCCACAGAACCCACACTGGAGTTCCTGAAGGACTGACCCTGCAGAAGGGACCCACGTTGGAGCAGCTCATGAAGAACTGCAGCCCATGGAAAGGATCCCATGCTGGAGGCAGGGGAGAATGTGAGATTCCCCAGCAGTCTGTGGTGAAGACCACGATGAGGAAAGCTGCAGGACCCACCACACCACCTCTCCTGTCCCGAGTGACCACCATGGGAGCCCAAAGTCAGACTAAACAATGACAACAGACATCTGTAGACAATTTATGGACATTTTGCAAGGGTGGTCAACAGACTAGGTCGACAGACTAGACTAGGTAACAGCATTTCACATTTAAATGAGATTGAAATCCTACAGTCTGGATGATGTAAACTAATTCTGAAGCTTTTCAGTCAATAACAAAAGCCATATTCCATATTCAGCTGTATTAATGATTATCTGCATACTACTGTCCCAAGGAACTTCTTAGCACTAAGTCACCCCCCAAAAGACTCACAGAATACAGGAGTTTTCTTGCCCTCTAGATACATAAAACCTATCACATTTTCCAGCTGATCCTGCAGAGCAGAGCACAGAGGGACACTGATGCTCTGTCCAACAGCCTCTGTAAGACAATTCCTCTGAAGCACCAGATGTGCTTTGGTTTAGGTTACAGTGGGAAAGGTGTTCACACCTTGGGGATGTCTGATGGATATCCCCAAGCCAAGGAACTGCTCCCAGCTCTTCTCATTCGCTGTTACTGCTTTCAATCAAATTATCAAACCACCTTTCCGTAAGCAATGACAAGGTACCTCAAAAAGTTCCAACTCTTTTTGCTTGCAAGTGAGCTACAAACTAAAGCCGAGTGTTCATTTTTTGTTTCCCCTCATTGTTTACTCATTTACGAGCCACTGCAGCCACTGAACCAGCCACTCTTCATGTCTTACCACTGGTTGGGCTACTCAGTCCACCCAAAGAAATCTTTTCTGTTCTTGAAACAGTTAAGGCATGTTTAATTAGCCTCCATCCCATTAATAGACTCTACAATGCCAGCATCCCAATGCAATCACGTATCCAGCCTGGAAAGTGTATCTGTGTGAGTATTGTAGATTTTCATTATTTTTCTTTGTCAAAGTCGTGTGAGAACATGTGACAGTCCAAGGCAGTGAATTTGCCACCTCAGGAGTTTCCACACACATTTCATGAGTTAATTTATATTGTGAAGGTTTAATGCTTCACACACATGCAACAGAAACATAAATCCTACTGCTTTAAATTCAAGTTTACTGATAAGGGCTGTATTTTAGGCAGACCCACTAAAGCTGCTATGGCACTATTACTGTGCAAAGACAACCCAGGCCCAGAAGAGTGACCCAGACTCATGTGAAGATGTCAAGCAGCCACTATTCCCCTTCCCAAACCACATCAGTTGAGAAGACCAACCCATGAGACTTGAGCCCTTAGCAACACCTACGTGAGCACAGTGCAGGAAAACATTCCTGCCATTGTGACAGTAACAACCAGCATCTCCCTAACACTTACTGATTTCAGTGCCACCAGCACTCTTCCTGCCATGGCGTGTTGGTGAAAAACAAACCCATCTCTATTCACTGCAGCAATTCAGCACTCTCTTGCTCTCTACTGCAGTAGCATGTAGTAGCTCTGCTGGCTTCAGCTGGTCCCGAGAGATGGCTGCTCATAGGAGAATAATCCATATTTGTTAGGAAAAAACCACTGGAATTACACAGGAAGATTTTCTGTTTACACCAAAGCCTCCTAACTCAAGCCCCTGAGGTTCACAAACTACTTCTGAAGGAGCTGCAAAGTGTAACGAGAGTCCAGTGCCAGCAGGCTCACGGTCCTGGTGCTCCGCAGTGTGTCAACCCCCACATCTTGTGGTGGGCAAACAAAGGGATTATGAGGAAATCACACAAGCTTATTGTTTTCACAGCAGAGGTTTTTCCTTCTCAAACCAGAGATCCCAAAAAGAAAGCCCCAAACCACGTTACTGTTACCCAGCTCCCAGAGTGAGCACAGGCTCCCCCATGCCCAGGGCCATCCCACCCATGCCGAGCTCACCCACCCACAACCACGGGCACTGCCCATGGATGCCCTCAGCACGCCCTCCACCAGCTTTTACCACAAGTTTAGAGTTGAAAACTTCTCAGTTTCAGTCATCCAGCAGAGCAAAGCTGCCTAACACGACCTTAAAATCCATTAACTGGGGTATAAATGCAAAACCTGCTAAACCCGGTCAAAGACTTCGGAATTTGAACAGATTATAAGTTTAAAACTTGCATCAATCCTGATGAATTTGATTCTATGTTCTCACAAATACTTATTTTTACCACAAAATGTTCACCAGCAAAGATGCAATACTATTTTAAAGGCAGCCATTTACATTCTTCTACGTGAATTTGATGTTTTTCTATATCCCACACTTCCAGCACTTGCTTCAGGCACCATACACAAACCTCGATTTGTGAAGCCTCAATCTTATTCACTATTTGATTTTAGGATTTTTTGAATCAGCTTCCTCATCCTAAGACTTATTTTGAGATATGAAAATAGAGAAACAGCTAAAAGCTAGACCACAAAGCGAGCTTTTGGTCTACAAACCAAACGTGTATTCTAAGCCCTGAAGTTTATTTCAGTGAAATAACAAAGTCCTTGAAACCTAAATACCAACTCTGTCCCATAAATACAGAAAAGTGGCATCATCCAGAGCTTATAGCAAAAACATAGATTTGTCCAAGTTTCTGCTGGAAAAGGAAGACATGCTTTGAAACTGAGCTTAATGCCAGCACCCCAGCACTATAAACCGATTTTAAAAAGAGCAGGATACATCAGCATTACTTATAACCTTCAGCATTGTGCAGTATACAAACTGTTGCCAAGCAAACTATGAAAGGATTCAGTTAAGCTGTGCACGTTGAGAAGCCTCTCAAGTCAAATACAGCCAGTACAGTGATGAAATGGTTATCAATACTTCAACAGCCAAACAAAATTTTACATTCTACACAGCTTGTTAAGCAGAAGTTTGTGACAAGCCAGAGCATCACAAGGCATGAAGTCACTAGGACTTCAACTTAATGCTAACAAAAAAACTCCTTCAAAAATCAATAAAGTGCAGGAAAGAAACAGTTTGCAGCTACTGACAAATTAGTAATGCACCTCTGCAAGTCCCATCCACGCCAGATAAGACTCTGTTGCACTTCACTGCAGTTTCTCACCATCAGTTCAATGCTAACTTTGGATATTCATCCTTGTCACAGTTCACCTGTGTCCCCCATCCAGCTTTACTTCAGCAAAATGAAAGCAAGCCAGAAAGCTTCCTTTCCTGGTTTTAAGATAGAAGTATCTTAGTTTTGACAAAATTGTGTTTAAATGTAATATTTTCACAACTTGATTTCTGATACAGGACTTAATGCCAAAAAGTTTCCTTTTTTGGAAAAGGAAGCTGTAAACATTTTGGTGAAGGTCAGCTAGGAGCTGACTAGCATTAAACTCTGAGCTTACACATCACGCATGATACATGCATAATGGAAGGAGGAAGAAAAAAAAAGTCATGTCGTATTTTAGAGTTATTTAGCTGCGTGTTTCAGAACAAACACTCCACTTCCACGACTGCTTTCGCCTCTTCAAGCCGCAGAAGCCCAAGGTGAAGTTTTGAACACAAGCAGCAGTTCTGTGCAAACACAAACCACGAGGAACTTGCATAGAGCGAAGCAGTTCATGCATACTCAGCACGTATGCATTCCATACTCAAGCATCCATACCTATCCCAGGAGGCCTTTGGCTCGTGTAACTTGTTGAAATGGAACGCTTGGTAGAATGCAGTTGACGGATTCCTATGAGATCCAAGAATCAGACAGACATATTGAAAATGGGTACGTAATAAAAATACCAAGTCTCCTAATTCAACCTGCATTGCAAAGGGAATTACCTTGTTAGGTTAAACCAATGCCTGAAAGGCCCTACTGTTTCTATGGGTTTGCATTAAGGACATACAGATCCAAAAAAAAAGAGTAATTCTCTCAGGCTATTTCAAGCTGCTCCTGTACAAAGATGACTGTAAGGCCATTAATGAAATGTCTCCCGTCCTGCTGGCAATCCTGTATAGGTATAAGCTGTGCACCACCCTAATGCCAAACATACCTAAATCCAAAAGACACCCTTCACATTTTTGGTATGTCCCAAACTGTCTCTGCACACAGTACCCAGTGTTTCCATCCAGCTTAACCCCCTGCTTTATACTCAAAACAGATGAGTCCTGTAAGGGCACCCGGAAGTGGGAGCTCAATATGCAACATTCAAGCTATGGCAGATCACGTTACACCCGACAACCAGAGCGGTTAGAAATGAAAAGCGGAAGGTAAACTATCACTCACCCTGTACACAGCTGTCAGCCACCTTCCCACCTCCCTTCCCCAGGTGCAACAGGGCTGATGGAGGCCCTTGGCCAAGCACTCCCACAGAGCCCTCCCACAGCTCCATCACCCTGCTGAGCGCCGCACACGAAGCCAGCCCCACATCCACCCCACACATGGCACCCACACCGAGAGTGTTACTGCAAGACCTTAGTTCTCCAAAATCTCATCTGAACGCTTGTTGTAAACAAGACACTGCATGAAGCACAGTCAAAGCTCTGCTGCCAAGGGCTGCAGCAGAGCATTGTACTCAAGCTTAGAAACTCCTTTCCTCAAACAGCTCATCCTCGTGTGGGTACAGCTATGTCAGCCCTAGAGAAGAATGCAACAGCATTGCTGAAAAATCTTCAGAAAAGTAAGTATGAGCTCAAATTCCTTTCAGAGCCAGTTTTTAAACCAAAAAAGTTTATATCAACATTAGAAGCACAGGTACCCATCTCTTCCCCAAGTTTATGGCAAGAATACTTAAAACTTGTCTTCAAGTTACTTAATTATTTCAATTTAAGTACAATCACTGTATAGTTAAAATAACAGAACAAAAGAAATTTAGAAAAAAAATAAATCACAGAAGCAGCACCATAACAAAACACTATCAGAAGTAATTGGATTCCCATGGCAGGTGTACACTAAAAACCTTGCAAGGATAATGGTATTTGTGCATCAGCAATGATCAGGAAGTGTCTGAGTTTTAAGTGTCTGTCACTCCTTTTCCCACCTTCACCACTGTACCCTTCAAAAAAAAAAAAAAAATCCACATGAGCCTGGAATTTAGCTTAAAACCTGTTACAGAAGTTGCTTTATCCAAGCTGATAAATACCATGCTCTTATGCTGGTACTACTGACATTTTCCTAGGAAGCATTGCACACTTAAGTGACAACTAAATACAACTAATTATAGGAAGAGCAACACAACAGCTAAAGGACATTTGTGTGATAGAAGGACTTAACAGAGGGAAAGCAATTGCCATCTGTGGATCAAGAGAGCATTCCTTTGCTGAGGGGAAGGCCCAGGCTCTTCTGTCTAATGCAGCTGCCTGTCAGGAGTACATAGAGTCTCTTCCTCAGAAAGTGACTGTAAATAGAAAGTCATTTAACTTCCAAGACAAATTTACTTGCAGCATATAAAGCCCTGTTGCTATTGTTAGGTATAAAAAGTGGTTTATAACGACACAGCATGTATTCCATATGGTCTATTTGTATACTGATACCCTTCATGCTCTATATTTTTGTACTATTCTTAAGCAAGCATCTGAAAAGATACAGAAAAGTTTTTCTTGTTAGATTCTTATTCGTATCCCCTGCTATTGAAATTGCTTTTGCATTACTTCAGACAATTAAGAGAATCTTTTCTACTCCACAGCTATATTTTAACAATATATTAATGGGAGTGTGTGTACCCGAACAGGAAAAGCAAACCCACAGAGGCAGCATAAATGATACCTCACTTGCAGGTCTGAACTAATACAACTGAGTTTCAGATTGTTGAGGCATCTACTTTTAACCACAACAAACAGTAAAAGGCTAGAGAATGCCTAAAAACACCTTTCAGTTTGCAGAAACAATTGAGGACACGGCTGGCAGGAGCAGCACAACCCGGCCTGCTGCTGCTGGGCCACAGCACACAAGTGCTGCTGACACTGAATGCAGGGACAGCCTGGAGCACAAGAGCAGATTGTCCAGGTCTCCTCCCTGGCAATGGCCAGGCCCGAGGTCAAGGCTCAGCCTCAGTCCTTGGCAGAGTGGCAGTGGAGCCAAGAGCCAGCCAGGAAAGGGATGTCCCTGATGCTGGTCCAGAGATGAGCACCCACCTCCCCTTCCACAGGAGGTACCCCAGCACTTCTCTGTCTCTGCTGAGACAGAACAGGTATCCCCAAGGGTAGAGGGGCTTGATTCCAGTCCCAAACTACAACAGACAACTAGCCTAGCACGCTTGAACATTCAAACTGCATCTCCAGGGGCCAAAGAGGCCTCCAAGTCTCTATAAACAAATCCTACAACACATACTGAATTTATTTTCTTTAAAAGCTCATGAACACCAATATTCACAACTTACTTCCATGTTATAGTTTCTAACAACAGTTTTCATGCAACAGATATTTGATCTAATTTTAAAGGATGAGAACTTATTCAATTCTCTGAATGCCTGAAACGTAAGCTGTCCCTTTAAAAGGGAAGTCTAAACCACATCCCAAGTATCCCCTCATATTTGGAAGTGTAGCCTCCCACTGCCATTCATCAGGATGATATGCCAAATACAAACGTTATCCTCAAGAGTTCTGTTTGCTAGAAACCATGCCCATCAGAGCTGGCAAATCGTCACGTATACAGATAAATGCCTTTTAGTTTAAATAATGATACTGGCTTTGGAAGAGCGGGGTATCAGCCTGACACACAGAGGCTGCTGCACAGATGCCTTTTTCCCAGCTCCTGCCTCTAAAAGGAGTAGTAACGTTGTTCACAAACAAGTTTCAATCTGCAGGCTGCTGACCAACCTCAGCAACTGAGTGCAAGAACACATGAAAAATATCACTTCTTTCCTCCAAGGCAGCAAAATAAAACAATCATATTGGACCACCTCAGATAGTTCTCTATCAATATCACTGACTTATTTTCATTAGGTTTGAGAACAGGAATGACCCAGAAGATTCAAAAGGCTGTCTTTGAAGAAGACAAAAACAACAGGTCAAACAATCTCTGCTCAATACCTCTGAGGAAAACCAAAGCAAAGCAGAGGCACCTATTTATTATTACCTAAACAGCAGCAAGCAGATGCAGATGGCCTTTCAAAAGCTCACATCAGCCAGAAATTCCTTCTGAGAACAATTAACAGGCCTCATATAGAAAAACACAGAGGATGCTATCATGTTATAAAGTGAGTAGAGTTTTTAATGCCATCTTGCATGACATTTTTGTAGTTAGGAGCATGGCTCGTACAAAGAGGATGCACCATCAGTAACTACTCTGTGCATGTGGCTCACCAAATTTAAGATTAGAAAGTATCAGTAAGACATCCATTATTGTCACGTTCCTGCTCCTAGAAGTAAGGTCATTGATCGTACAGTGATGCATCGATAGGACTGGGAAGTCAACAGCAAGCTCCAGCTCTCAGCCTCTGCACAGAGCTACAGGAGCCAGGCATCAGGCCTGAAAAAAACCTGTTCTTCAGCCACCTTAATCAAAGGAAACACATTAATGTGTAACTCTGTGCACCTACGTTACTGCTACAGAGCCAGAAGTGAACCAAACACTTGGAGAAAGAAGTGATTCAAAGATACCCTGAAGAGGAAGTCAGCAAACAGACACATTTAGCTTTTTTGTAACATGAGTATTACTGTTGAACAGTCAAGAGACCCGATGGCAAGATAAGCACACAGCCTGAGCTCAAGAGAACTGTCAGCATACGTGGATGTGTCTGTGCACTAAAGGACAACAAATTAATTCCTCCTTAATGTCTAAAATTTATAAAAGATTGGATGTACTTTTACCCAGAAGCACTTCAGACCCAAGGTAGTTTTCAGTTCTGTGTTTCAGTGCTCCCCAGTAAAAGGCTATTTACTAGGATACTGGCTATGACCTACAGCTGGTCTCCAAATTACAAACCTTGACAGGGTTTATCTGGGATCTGGGCAAGGGATTTGATGATCACTTGATCACAGCTTATCAGGGAACACCCAGCACAGTTCATGGCATTTTGAGATGATGTTTACACTAGTAACAGAATTCCTTCTCCAGCCCTCTCCTTTTAAATGACTTTATTTTTATCACCTTCTATTTAAAGCAGCTGCAACTTTGAATCAGCTTTCTTTCATAAGACTCAATCTACAAAACAATAACTGGAGCACAAAGCTTTGCAGAAGAAAACTGACAGGGACTAAATGTGGGGGAGTCGATGTGGAATTAAGGAAATAACATCTCAAGCTCTGAAGTTATATGTTTAATTGCATATTCTGTTCATACCATTCCTTAAAGCTGTTAAACTTGCAATACATATCCAGAAAAAAGAGCAAGAATTCAAAGCTTTAACATTCAGTTTTAGGTACATTCTAGCTACAGGTGGCAGGAAAGGCTGACTCAATTAACAGCCTGCATGACAGTTTTTGGGACAGCAGCTCTCAAACACCACAATGGACTTTAAAGGAGTTCACAGGTTACTACAAAATTAAAATATTGTAACAGTGCAGAGAAAGCACAGTGCATGGATCTGATCTTCACTGGAAAAATCAAGAGCAGCAGCCTATACTTTCTTCATCTTGCTCTCAAAAAGAGGATTTCAGCAAATAATCTCTTGCAGTGACTAGAAGGCTCTAAGGAGAAGGAAATGGAGATGACTGTCTCAAATGCACAGGGTACAAAGTTTGGCAGAGGCATTTCACTGATCACTTGCCTGTTGAGATCCTGGCATCAGCCTTCCCCTGCTCTGG